TCTTGAATCAAATGAATATAAAATTTCTGGAAAACTTATGACACATGATGGTATTCCAAATGATAATTATGTTGTTAAATTTAAATCTATGAATATATATGGATTTTCGGCTATAATTGAGAGTTTTAACGCCGATTGGTATGCATTTATTTTATTATCCCTAATCAACTTTAATTTCATTGCTTATTTTTCACTATATTTTTTTAGTGTGGTGAATTTTGAAGACTTGCAAATAACTTGGATATTAATCGGAATACCATCTGAAGTTGGTGTCTATAATTCAGATACACGAAATATTTCCATTTTGCGTTTCAAAAGCTGCGAGTTCAAGTTTGATCCGAAAAATAATTGCAATGTTCGATTAAAAGTTCCCAAAAATCTGGAATTAGATTCGTTTCTTATTACATCATTTGCGCATCCTCGATTAAATTATGAGCCGTGCTTTATGGCTAAAATTAAAAATTATTATGAAGATGAAATCGAAGTTAGTATTTATATTAAGGAGAATAAAACATTGAATAATAACGATGATGAAGATATTAATAATGAACATATAGATGATGATGATCAATCTACTAAGACACTGAGTAATGCAGATGACGACAGCTCTATCGATGAAATTTCTTCCGAAAATTTTCAATTAGAATGGGGCATTCTTTTAAAAAATGATAGGAAAGAATGTGATAAAATTGGTTCTGATTTAATTATGCCAATAAATCATTTAGAGGCAGTTGGTCAAAGTGTTTACACGAAAGATTTAAATGCAATTTTCGAAAATAATACTCTAACTGAATTAGATTTAAGCTACAATAGACTTGATTCTGAAGTGGGAAAAGCTTTAGCAAATGCTTTAAAAACAAACAAAGTTACGGTCAGTCTGGACTTAAGTTATAATGATATTGATTTTGAAATGGGAAAGGCACTTGTAGATGCCTTCATAACAAACCCTACGCTCACTCGTCTAAATTTAAAATCAACTAGAATGAAGCCTGAAATGTTAATAGAACTGGCAAATGCCTTAAACAATGACAAACATCTTATTGACCTTGATTTAAGTTATAATAAGTTTACTGAGGAAGCGGGAGATGAACTAGCAAAAGCTTTAGGAAATAATAACACACTCAAAAACCTAAATTTATGCAACAATGACATTGATTCACGTATAGGAAAAACTTTGATAAATGCTTTAATAAAGAATAAAGCACTTGTTAATTTGGATTTAAGCCATAATAATTTTGATATTGATGCTATTAAGATCTTGGCGGAAGTTTTAGGATCAAATAATAACAAACTTAAAAACTTGAATTTAAGTTTTATTAATCTTGAATTTCGAGCAGGGATGGTTTTAATAGAAGCATTAGAAAAAAATCAAACCCTTGAAGATTTGAACTTGAGTTCAACCAAAATTGGATCTATTTCAGTAAGTTTAATAGACCATTTAAATTCGCAAAGAACTTTTAGTGGCTTCAATACTAAGGACGATATCATTAATTGTGTAATGGCAAAGCATTTGGAAACAGCTTTAAAAAAGAACGCAACCCTTACTAATCTAAATGTAAGTTCTAACAATATTAGTTCGGAAACAGGGAAAACGTTGGTAGACGCATTAAGACGAAACCATACTCTTAGGAATTTGAATTTAAGCAAAAATAATATTGGACCTGAAGCAGGAGAGATCTTAGTAGAAATTTTAAAAACAAATCATACTCTTACTAGTATAAATTTAGAATCAACTAGAATCGAGTCTAATATAATAAAAGCTCTGGCGCGAGAATTAAAAGATGATAATATTCGTCTTATTGATTTAAACTTGAGTTATAACGATATCAACTTCGAAGTAATTAAAGTTTTAGTTGAGGCTTTAGAAGAAAATACGACTCTCAAAAGCTTGGATTTGAGTCATAACTGTATTAATTTAGAAATTGGAAAAGAGTTAGCAAAATCTTTAAAGAAGAATAAAACTCTTGACAGTTTACTATTAATTCATTGTAATATTAGTTATGAAGTAATCAAGGCATTAAAAACGGCTTTAATGCATAATAAATCTCTTACCCACTTAGATCTAAGTAACAATAATATCAGTTTTGGTGCAGGTCTAATTTTGGCAGAAATTTTAAAAACTAATACTGCGCTTAAAAACTTAAATCTAAGCTATAATGTATTTAATTTGGAATCAGAAGAGGCACTAGCACAAGCTTTAATAATAAATAATACTCTTATTGCACTAAGCCTAAAATCAACTATAATTGAATCTGGAACTGGAATGGCTTTAGCAAAAGCTTTAGAAATAAATAAAACGCTTATCGAATTAGATCTAAGCTACAATAATATTAGTTCTGAAGTAGGAATGGCTTTAGCTAAATCTCTGAGCGTTAATAGTTTTCTTAAAAAGGTGGATTTAAGTTTTAACAACTTTGATTCAAGAACAAAACAAAATTTAAAAAAGATTTTAAAATTTAAAATTTTGAGTTTAAAAATAAAAATATAAAAATTTTAAATATATCTATCATTTATTATAACACGCACCTATGGTGATTTTGCACTTATTATATGTTTTTATTATGTTTGGATTTTTCTAAATTTTTATGTTTTGTATATTAAATTTGGCAATTTCTATTTGTACATGGGTGTTTATGTACGGGCAATATAGAACCCAACCGATATCTCAAAATTTTGATTATGAAACCACTTTTTGGCTTCTAATAAAAAAATTCCTTGCGAAATTTTAGTATAAACTATACCTCGCCCCAATCCCAAACCACCCTTACCCTAACCATAAGCAAGGATTTAATTTTTCGTTCGTAAAATTTGCATGTTACACAATTTGCAAACTACGGATTAATACCCGTGTATAAACACCCGTGTAAATTAAGAAATTTTCATAAAATTTTTAGCACAAAATTTTCACGTTAGGGTTAATTTTTAGGGTTAAGATTAGGGTTTGGGAAGGGTCTTTTGGGATATTGACCATTTTTATTTAAAGCACCTCACCGATTAATTAGCTAGTTTTTGAGATAATATATACATAGACGTAAAACACAATAGGTGCGTTTAGCAAAAGTTATTTGTATTTAATTATTAAATATTTAAAGCTTTTAACCTTGTATATAAATTGTAAACAATTTAAATCATTATCGTACGGATCTTATGTGACAACCCGTGATTTTTTCGAAAGCTTATTTGCGCGCAGGATCTATGGACAGTTCTTACGGACAGTATGGACAGTCGAATTCACGTGATATTGCTAAAACCACTAAA